TATATATATATATATATATATATATATATATATACATGTATATACTTTTATATACATATACACGAAAATGAATAAAGCAACAATATGAATTTAAAAAATCTTTTTGTTGTTCTTTATAATTTTTGTATACACGTTACTGTGTTAATGTTTTACACAAACACACACAGCACACACACACACACACACACACACACATATATATATATATATATATATATATATATATATATATATATATCAATCTACCTACCACCTCTCTTAACGGTTCACTCGGTAGGTTTAATCGCGTCAACCCACTCACCGCCGTTCGAGGGCCCTGAACAGGGCGAGCGTGTCCTCCTGTTGGTGAGCCGCAGAAACCTGCTCCAGCTCCGCCTTCGTGTTGCCCGGGAGCCGAAGTAGGCGAGGACGAGGGCGCTCCAGACGCTGAAGGGCGAGATGAAGAAGTTCCCCGACGGAGGGAGAGCCTTCTGAGTAAGTCTGAAGGGGGTCGGCTGAGAATCGGGAGCCGCGGGGCGGCGAGGTGTCGGAGGAGGAGAGGCACTGACAGCTGGCCCGCGACAGGAGGGCGAGGGCGGGGAGCAGCACGCACACTCATGGTTCTGAAAGGTCATGCACACACTGGTATTTGAATATAAAAACACACACACGCACATATATATATCTTAGTCAAAATATTATGTATTTCTAACTATAGACAAAAGCGAGCCAGATACATTAGCACTATTAAGATATCTGGTCTTATTATTTTGTCGCAATGAACACGGTTTAGAAATAAGCGACTCAGACACGGGTTGCAGTATACACAAAACTATAGGGTGCACAGGAAACATATAACCGATATTGCATGTTCGCCTAACTAATAGATTGCAAATAGACCTTATGAGGTGGAGGCAAAATGCTGAGAAGAACGGCGCAATATCTTTCAGTCACCTCAACACATCAGCAGTCAACAGTTACCATATGCGATTTGCAGTACCATAAATTCCTTACGAAATCTGAATATTCATATAAAACAGAAAACACCAAAAATGGTCTGTGGTGAGACTTTAACAAGCTAGAGATTACTGAGTTAGCGAGGCTTTTCCTGTGAATATTTTACTACCCTCTACATCTGGTTTATTCATAATTCCATCAAGCACATAATAATGATACACTGAACTTACACAAACCGTAGTTTATTGTCTTTTATGCTCTATGTTTGGTGCCACGTCTCTCTGTGTAAGTGTATATTTGTTACAAAACTAAGATATAATTAACACACTACACTTAAAAGCCTGTACTTGAATTTGGTCACAAAGCGATACATGTTTTGGGGATAATTTCATTCCCATGTTCAGAATTTTTAACATCATCATATAAAAGAACAAATCTAATCGTACAGGGTGTCTTATACTTACTGTCAATGAATGGTTAGTGTTTATGCTCATATGTTGACCACTTTCATTATGTTATCATATCTTGAAATTTTGTGTGTGATACACGTTACTTATGTCCGGTTAAAATTGAGCGAGGCCTGATCCAATGAATATTACATAAAGACATGTAAATAAATGCACATTTCTCTATCTATCTGATAGATATACATTTATATATCTATCTATCCAACAGATATGCATTTATGTCTATATATATCCATATCCGTATTATGAATAATAAGGTCGGGCTTCGAACAATTTTAACAACCGGGCCGATAATATATATCAGCATACAAATTATAAAATAATAATAATAAATAAATAAATAAATAATAAAACGGTACACAGTTCTCACCAGGAGAATCTCGACACCAACACCAACACAGCGACCTTAAGTGACGGACGAGCGCGAGAAGTCTTTCTCACGCAACGCACTTTCACCTACTACTGAGAGGCGGCTGGGACTCACGATTATATACATCGCAGAGAGACCGCGAGAGCCGACATTTCGTCTGTTGATTGTGTCTAAATCTCTGCATTTGTGTGGTCTTGCCAGTTCGTATAATCATAATATAAATAATATGCAAAAGTCTGCTAATAAGCACATAAGACAACATTCTGCCAAATATATGTATTATTGTTTTCGTGTTTGGACTGCAATGGGAACAAGTCATGCATTGTAGAATAAACATATAACATGCCAGCACATACCCTTGATTTTGCAATGACTGAGACTGAAGTAAAATCACGGAATAATTGATGTTCTCAAAACCAAAACACAGCGTTACTTTAATTGTAATTAAAACGGGGAACGAATACTGCAAATTGGGTACGTTTACATTGCAATGATGCTATCTGCCATAACAGCAAATGCAGCGAGAAACGTGATTTGAAATTATAAACCATGTTTCGCTCTCTCTCTCTGCCATTCACTGTCACTCAGTCACTCAATCTCTATCTATCTCTATCTCTCTCACACAGACACACACTTACTCTCTCACACACACACTCACTCTCTCTCTCTCACACATACACAAACTTTCTCACACACACACTCTCTCTCTCTCTCTCACAATTGCAACTTCTCGCACATGGGCGGGCGTGAGCCGCGCGGAGCCGGAGCGAGTTCTGCGGCTCACCGACAAAGAGGACACGCTCGCCCTGTTCAGGGCCCTCGAACGGCGGTGAGTGGGTTGACGCGACTAAACCTACCGAGTGAACCGTTAAGAGAGGTAGGTAGGTATATATATATATATATATATATATATGTGTGTGTGTGGTGTGTGTGTGTGTGTGTGTGTGTGTGTGTGTGTGTGGTGTGTGTGTGTGTGCGTGTGAACACAAACACAGAAACGTGTACACAAAAATTATGAAGAAGAACGAAAAAAAATTCATTTCATATTATTGCTTTCTTCATTTTCATATATATGTATATAAATGATATATACTTGTGTATATATACACATGTGTATATATATATATATATATATATATATATATATATATATATATATATATATAGAGAGAGAGAGAGAGAGAGAGAGAGAGAGAGAGAGAGAGAGAGAAATGGACATGAATAAAACCTTGATGATAAAAAGGATCATGATTTTATAATGCAAGTAATAACATTATCAAATAATAATTTCTACTAAAATAACACACTGCAAAAGGCTCCCAAGAAGCAAACCAGAACTACACCATCAACTCGGCTAACAGGATATACTTCGACCAGTCCATTCCCGTCCGAAAATGCGTGGGAAAAGTCCTCGACGACAAAGTGAAGTTCACAGACTTTAATAGGGTAAGAAACACTTGGCTTACAGCTTTATTTTCCTGCCTACTAGATGTGGGGAGTCTTCATCACTAGTAACATCATTGCATATCCAAAATTGCGATATCAGAACTCATGTACTTACAGATTCATGGCTCAGTGAGGATACGAACATCATTCTTTATATAAAAGCACAGCTTATAAGTTATGGTCTAATGTTTTGATTATGTCTCTGCAAAAAGAGGGTAATCTACACATACATTTGTATTAAATCACTGCATTATCACTTCGTATATACATACACATCTCTCTAACCTGACATTGTATTTCAATTTGTGATACGTTTCCATCTTGTGGTTAAGGGAGTTTTCTGGCAATCTTTCTAATCAGGAGCCGAGGCACAGTGATAAAACCTTTTAAGCCTTAAACAAAGTGAAGCATTTCAAACCTTATAGCTTAAACCTCGGGCGCAGTGTGAAAGCCTTCCGTACAAGAGGGCAGATCTGTTCAGCAGACTTACTTTGATCTTGAGTAACAGAGAAAAGCCTTCTGTGGTGATCATTTCATGTATGTAGAATGAACCAACTTCTTCAGTGCTTTAGGGCGTCTTCTGTACGTGCCATAAAGTTAATCCAGAATCAAGTTTAATCCAGATCTCGCGCATGCGCAATGGCAGCGTCCATTATCAACTTTTATTTCATCTCTGGACCAGCATTTACTTTTGAGCTCGTAATTTAATCCTGCATGCTCAGAATGAGCTAGTTAGTCCAACCAATCAGGTATTGATACATAATGACGTCAATTCCATAAAAAAAAAGGAAGTTGAGTTGCCATGCATGTTTATTATTGCGAATAATGAAACATTCTGGCATTTTCACGCTAAAGATGTGTATGAACTTTTATCAACATATTTAACTGCAGAAATAACTCAACATTAATAATAATGATAATAAAAAACGAAAGGAAATCCCACAGATACAAAAAGGCAATGTTTTATCCAGGTTGGAAAAACAACCCCAACGTATATATCATATCAGCAGACTTAAAAAAGAAAGCTTTCAATAACATCACGATTAGGTTTCAAATTCAAGTACAAACTTTCTGAATATTTTTAACTGCATGGAAATTTTGTTGTCATATTCCTCGATAGCAACAAAAAACACTTCCCTACCCCGTGCCCCACGATCACTCACACGAAAAAGCTCTCGGAGAAAACTTTCCCGCGAAAATAAACTGATGTATCCTTTGTTTGACACCTACAGTTCTGATTCCTATAGAATTCAAAAAGCATCTGAAGCCATTTATATAGATTTATTTGTAGTAACACAAATGCACATCGTCATGTTATAAGACTACCGTATATGTGTAAATATTTATATATTTTTTATTTGTAGCAAACGTCTCGTTAACAGCTTTAGCGTGTGATATGAGACAAAGAGTTTGCTAATTTCGACCACAAATACCCGCTCTTAATTGTAAAAGAGCAGATTTACTGATAATCGCATGGACGCGTGCGTCTGGTAGTGTGTACTACACCTGTGAAAGTACTGGATTTGGATGAAAACTTAATCTGGATTTTACTTTTATGACGCATACAGAAGACGCCCTTGGACAAGAAAAAAACTCCTTTTATTATTTTAACACAGATACATTTCTTTAAAGGCTCTTTAAACTCCAGAGACCGAAATAATCAAACCTGAATCTGCCATCAGCCCGACACCGCCGCTGCTTACATCAATGCCTTCTTCAGCGCCGAAACGCGAGGAAAAATACCAAACATTATACAACCCTCCTTTCTTGGAGGCGCTAAAATGGTCTTAACTAACGCCGTCTACTTCAAAGGCATTTGGAAATACCCGTTCAAGTCTCAAAGTACCCACAAGGAGTTTTTCGTATCCCCGAAACAGTCTGTCGAAGTGCATATGATGTCGCAAACGGGAAATTTCAAATATGGTAATGTATGGGAGTTCTTCCTTTATAGAAAATGAACCCTACCTTTCTTTGTGTCCAGAGTGTCCCTTGTTACATAATTTTTTCCATTTTCATTGTTTGTATCGATTTGTCGCAAATCAAAATCAGTTATGTGTACATTAGGTGTCTCTCTTTATGGCAACATGTACACAATTCCATCACAGACCAAGTTACCTTACAATATAAGGAAATCGTAAAATGAATCACCTGTTATTATCACGAACTTGAAATATGTCCAACTCCGTTTCAGTGGACTCGAAGAAGTTTCGCGCC